CAGACGAGACACACCTACAGTCAATTTATAATCATTATTTAATCCAACGGTTTATTGTTTTGTAGTAGAAAAACCTGTCAATCATGAAAACATCAACCCTGTTTGAGCATGACTCTTTATTCCTGTTGATTTGTAGAAGAGAAAAAGAAAAGAAAAAACCAACAGAAAAGCAAAATATCCTTTCACCGTTTGAAAACAGGAGGATCTCCCGACATGTTCACACATGCTGTATGCCAAGGTATGCACTTCCTGTCTGGGCCTGTTAGACAGCAACAGACACAAAGCTCAGAGCCTGATTTAGTTCATGCTTTCAAGCTTTTTTATCTCCTTTACCACCGTTAGATTCTGGAAGAAAGTGGTGGTGTTGGTTGTGGCGCTTGCTGTCTCACAGATAGAAACCATTAAAAGAACAGTACGGTGTATCGAAAGAGTACAATTACTTCATAGTGATGTGCATCTCACACTGCTGTTATTGACTCAGAAATCTAAAACTTTAACACTCCGTCTTTCTCCTTCATTCGATTTTTTTCCAGACAAAAACAGGTGAACTCCACAGAACGGACACGGCTGCTGTGTGGAGTGACTCACACTCAGGTTTATCCCAAAAGTCCCTTGTTTTCAGTTTTCTTTATAAATCAGTTAAATTTCCCCTCTGAGATCAGGATCAAGCACTGATGCTTGTTAAGTCTCTGAGCATTTCCTCTTTATTTATTCTTATCTTTCATCAGTTCTGCTTTCCAACCAGTTCATGTAAAAGAGTCGTGCAAGTTGTCTTCATGCTGACTGACGTTTTTAACCAAAGATAGCTCGTGTTCAAACATGAGCTCGAGAGAACATGAGGATAGGAATGATGAACCTATAACGTTTTACAAATCAGGACGTGTGTGTGTAAGTCTGTGTGTGGGTGGGGGCATATTTTTCCACTTCATGTTCTCAATTTGAACTCCGCTCCTGTTATTTACGGATAATATCAGCACGCAGGATTTTTAAAAACAAAGATCATCAGACATGTCTGCAGGAACATGCATATTTTTTTGCTCAATTCTGCTGCTTGCTGGCGTCTTTGTGTCCGTGTCTGCAGGTGAGATTTAACTGTATGTAACATAAAGAAGAATAAAGAGTTTCAGAGTGGTTTACATGTGTACAATATGATATAATACAAAAGTATTAGGTGCTTGTTAGACAGTGTATTTGTTTGAAACTGAATATGTGATATAATTGTTTAATAAATAAAGTTTGCTTTAAGCTGCTCATGTTTCTGTGGAACCTGCAGGAAGTCAATTAAATAAATCAATTAAACATGTAAGCCCTAAACAATAAGAAGACAAAGGTCTGTGGAGTCTTTCCAAAATGATCTGGTGCTGATATTAAAACGTCTCTGAGAAAACCATCAGCTTCCATTTACCATGAGCTCCTTATCCAATCTAAACAGACTAGCTCTTATGTAGTACTTTTCTACCTGAGCAGTCAAATCACTTCATGCATGTCTCAATCAGCAGTGCTTTATGTCATATTTATTCACACTCACACTCCTGCTCTACCTCCTGAGCCACAGCCACTCTGATCTACAACTGTCATCAGAGTTTTAGACAATTCAAGCAGCAGGACTTTGACGTTAAACTGAGGTCAAAGTGCCCACAGATGATGAGAAGTAACTCTTTGTGCTATCAAAATCTGAGATTTTTGGCTTTTCAAACATGCCCCCTGATGTCTTGGCAATCAAGAAAAAAAACAGATGTGCTTCATATCATAAAAATAAAAATAATTAACTCAAATGTCAAAGAAAGTAAGCAGCATATTAGAAGTTAATTGTTATTTTTGTGATTCCACTGATGTGTCACACTTGGTAGTGTCCACTAAATACTTCCCAAGTGTGCTGGTTTCTGAGGCTCCTCTTTTGACCCACAGTGTCCTCAACATCAGTAGGAAAAAGTTTTTTGAGTGTCTTGATTGATCCTCGCTCACTCACTTTGTGTTGTTTCCTCTTTCAGAGCACAAAAGCATCCCAGTTCAGTCTGGACAGAACGTCATTCTACCATGTCAAGCTCCAAATGATAAGGGCTCCATCAGAGTGGTAAAGTGGACCAAACCTGACCTACAAAAGAAAATAGTACATTTGTATGTGGATCGGCGATTTGATCTCGAGGATCAGAATCCATCTTTTAAGAACCGGGTGGATCTGCAGGACAGAGAGATGAAAAATGGAGACGTGTCTTTGATTCTGAAGGATGTGACGATTGATGATGCTGGAACATACGAGTGTAGTGTTACCCAGAAAAAAGACCTCAGCCCTTACATCACCACCATAACTGTTGACCTGGACGTTATTAATTCTGAAGGTGAGTTATGAGAGTTCAGCACATCAGTGATCAAAGTTGAATCTGCTTCCTGGTTGTTGGATTCTCTTCTGTCCTTCACTCATCACCTACCTGACACCTCACACCTGTTTCTCACCTGCAGGTCAGACATCCCTACCAGTGGAACGAAGTGTAAGTGGTTCTGTTGGACTGGTCATTGGTCTGTATCTTCCTGTTGTGCTTCTCGTTGTTGCTTTTGTTTTTTAGCTACAGAAAATGTAAAGAAATCAGTCAGTGTTCAAACCAACCTCAGTTTTTTTGTGTTTTTTTTGTTAATGAAAACAAGAAAACAAAAATGATCTGAGGACAGACGAACATTAAAGATGGGGAACATTCAGCTGCAGACCTGCGTCAGACAGGAGGATCTGTTGGACTGATTGTTGGTCTGACAGTTTCTGGTCTGCTTCTTCTGGCAGTTGTTTTTTTTTTATCCACAGAAGATATAAACAACAACAAAATCAGGGTCCATACCACCCTCCTACTGGAAAGTAGTAGGTTGAAATTTTTCCAGAGAAAGGAAGATGATGAGATGACAGACATTTTTAATGCTTAACATCCAGCAGGCCATATCAAATGTTAAGTTCTTGATTTTACATTTTAAATGTTCAGTTTCTTGTGGTTCCATCTGTTGGACTGACAGTTGGTCTGTCTGTCTTCTTTTTACTTTTGAGGGGTTAAAAGAAACGAGTCAGAATCTGCACAAGCTCCCCAGAGCAGAGTAAAATAAGTTGGCTAAGTTAGTCATAAAAAGATCAACATTCTAAACCAACCACTTTGAAAACAGTTTATTTTGTTCCTGCTATATTTTTTGTTTTACATTTTCTAAATTATGATTATCTTTACATTTACTTTTGCATAAGAACAAAGTCTGACTGTCAAGAAGTCCTGCACTATAATCCACTAAAGTCTCAATTTCATTGTTCCTGTTTATAAAAAGCAGGAAAAATCCATAAATATGTTTAAACATTTATGCTCCAGTACTAAAACAGTCAGTGTTCAAACCAAGCTCAGTTTTAATGAAAACAAAGATGATCTGAGGACAGGCAGACTTTAAAGATGTTGAACTTTCAGCTGCACATTTCAAATATCTAAAATTTTTTAATGTTTTTCGCATTTCTCTCAAACATCATGTCAAGTCTGCCTGCAGCTTTATGACCTACAGTTTTTGTCCACCTTCAGTATTTTAATATGTTTTGCTCACACCAAGTTAAACTGTATTACGCAGGAACATTACTCTATGTTCTGCTGTGTTAGAATCAGTGAGCAGAGTTTATAATCTTTTTAAAATATCGTTTATATTTCTGTCATGCTTTTGTGGTTCACTTAGACCCAAACCCATTGTACATATATGCATATTATGTTGTGTTTTTCTAATTAAATATCCAGTGTCGAGTATGTTGCACTGTTTGAATCAGTGAGTGTTGGTTTCAGCTTAAGGTTCAGCAGCTGTTTGTGACATCTGGATGGGTTTGACTCATCATGTTCAGTCAGCATACATACAGATGCTCACAACACAGACACAAAAGCATGTCACCGTGTGTGGAAAAATCACTGTGGATTATAGAAGGTGATAATATGACAGCCACAGGACTGGCCGTGCTTTCCTTCTCGGTTTTGTGTTTTCATCTGTGTAACATAAGTAAAGTTGCATATTTGGGAACACCTCATTGGTTTTGGTGTGATTGTTGGTTTAGTTAGTTCCCTTCACACACCAATGACTTAGGCTGTGGTGTGTTAGTAAATCAAAAAAATAACTGCCTGAACAATAATGTTCACTTGGATGAGTTTCAGTGAGTGATTAGAGGGACTGCTGTCCAACTTGCCATTCTTTGTGAAGTTTCCTGATTTGTAACTGGTTTTGAAAATGGCTTCTGAATCAGTGCTGGAATGAGTATTGATTTGCTGCTATATGAGAAACATGAATTGAAATTAACACAAAAATAAAAAGGAAAATTAAACTGAAACTTATCAGTCCCAGTCTGGTATTTTGTGAAATCTAACTTCCCCTCAGGAGCTTCTGAGAAACAGATTCATCCATAAACTTGGATTTCAGTCATGTAAAGGCTTGTTTTAAAATTCCAGCTGCAGCTCTCACTGTGATCACAGCTGCTCCATCAGAGTTGAAGGACAAAGAAAAACTAAAACATTGTAAAGTACTTTAGATGAACTTATCATCTTATAGTGAGAGATTAATCAGACTAATGTACAAGGAATAATCTGCACTGAGACACTTTAAACCAGCAAATATTTTTCTCTGTCATATTTTTGATGGTACAACACTTTGCAAAGTCTAATGTAGGATTCTAGGACACCCATGTTGCTCGGTTCATCCACAGATAAGCTGAACTAACTCTCTTATTTTGACACATTAATGCCTTATTAACAGAAATTACACTCAAAAAATATCACTTTAAATAAGTGTTAACTTTACATAAATGTATGCAGTGCTCATATACTGCTTTCACCTGAAACACAGCAAAACAGCAGTTCTTTGTTACATTACAATAACTGTCCTGCATTACTTTTGTAAGGGATTACTTTGCCAGTCTCTCATTTTTCTGAGCCGCCACTGCCACCTATTGGCGAAACTCAATATCACCCTGAGACCAAATCAGGTGGGAGCAAATGCGTTTTGCTCTGTGATACAAACTGTTCACAACAAAAGCAAGAAAAAAAAGTGAGGGGGGTCACAAACACTGCGGGCTGAGAGTTGTTGACAGCTCAAACATTCAGGGTAACACACCTACAGGCAATTTCATTCTCTAATCCAGCATGTTATTGTTTTGTAGGAGAAAAACCCATGCAGGTACAAATATCACCCTGTCTGACCGGACTTTTTCCTGTTGACTTGTAGAAAAACAAACCTTCCTGTCACTCTTTGGCTAACAACAGAGCTCCAACATGTTCACACATGCTGTGTGCAGGATCGGTCAGACTGATTTTGTTTGTGCTTTCAAGACTTTTTAACTCCTTCACCACCGTCGAATTGAGGAAGCGAACAGTTCCCTCTTCATTAAGACTTCACAAAAAGTGGTGATGCATATTTGTAGGATTTAAATCGCTCCAAGAATTAGATAAACATTTTAAACATGGTAAAAAAACAGTTTCCTGTTTTTGTGTTAGGTAGTTTTAGTGACAGCTCACTCGGTAAACACGCCACATCATCCCTGCTAACAACAACACCGCATTCACGTGCATGTTAGGCAGTATTTGACTCATTTGCTGCTGCGCGTGTCTCACAGACAGACCACATAAAAGCACTGTATGGTGCAATGAAATAGTACAGTTACTTCAGCTCTCACTGATGTTATTGACTCAGAAATGTCCTAAAACATTAATACTCTTTCTTTCTCCTTCATTGGATTTATTCCACAAAAAAACAGGTGAACCACAGAGCGGGCTCAAGTCATTCGGAAAACCCCTTATTTTCACTTTTCGTTACAAATCATCAAAGTCCCCTCTGAGATCAGAATGTAGCAGCACTGATACTTGCTAAGTCTCTGAGCAGTTCCTCTTTATTTATTTTTATCTTTCATCAGTTCTGCCTTCTAACCACAGCTCATGTAAGAGTTGTGTAAGTCGTCTTAGAGTCTGCTCTGAGTCATCTGTGTTTGTAATATGCTGACTGAAGTTTCTAAACAAAGATAGGTCGTGTTGTGTTCAAACTTGAGATAATATTGGATTAGATGTGATAAAGTATGACATAAATCTAATATTTATTCTTTGCCTTTAAGCCCAGAGTGAACACTGTAGGTGTTTAGGATGGTTTGTTTATGTTTTGGATCAATTTATATCTGGCATGTGATTATGGAGTATGTTGTGTTTTCTAGTGTAGCTCTCCTGTTTGGTGGCTTTTGGGAGGCTGTAGAGCAGGTTGTTAACCAACTGGATCTTTAAGGAAGGTAAGATGGTGAACGCTGAGTTGCTTCTGATGCATCGATCTGAATTCGAGTCTGTGTGAATGTTAGAGAAAGTGCTTGTGTGATGGGGTGCAGTTCTCAGTTAGAGTAAAAAATGTGCAACATAATAAGCAGTTCATTTGAGCAAAGGGTGGTAGACTTTTGCTGTAAACGTACCTATTCTGTCAAAAGCAGCACATAGCTGAGGGATGATTAATGTGGTAACTAAAATAAAGTGTAAGAGCAGCTCTGATGTAATGTGAGTATTTCTCAGTAAGACAGTTCAGAGCTGAAGGAGAATCAGTATGTGTTTTCACCTTAAAACCTTAAAGCTGTATCTGAACTTATAAGATAAGAGGGAAATTAACAAAACTCTTTCCTGTCTTTGCACAGTTTGACATATTTTCACTTCATGTTCTCGTTTATATAAAAAAAAAACTGCCAGAGAAATGGGCGTGTTCTGGGTATTGTCTGCCCACTGGCAGTTTAACGGCTGCTCCTGTTTGTTTTCCCCAAGCTTCATATGGAGCTCGAGGGCGAAGTTTTAGATGAAAAAAAAAGCAGATAAGAGGTACTTTTTTGTGATAATTCAGGCGCAGGAAAATCTAAAGCGTTTATTTAAGATGAGCGGCTGAAAGAGATACGCATTTCACACTTGCTTTGAATTTGATCTAACGCAGTCAAGTTTTAGACCCCGGTCCAGTTGTTCACGGGTAATATCAGCAGGCGGGATTTTAAACAAACAAAGATCATCGGACTCAAGCACGGACATGGCTGCAGGAACATGTGCGTGTCTTTGCTCGACTCTGCTGCTTGCTGTCGTCCTTGTGTCCGAGGCTGCAGGTGAGATTTAACTGTTGGAAACCAAACAGCGACCATAAGCAACATAAAGAAGAATAAAGAGTTTCAGAGTGGTTTACATGTGTACAGTATGGTATAATTCAATATCAACACATATAATACAGTAGTAGTTCATCGTTACGGAATGTTTTTGTTTTAAAGTGAATATGTGGCTTAACTGTTCATTAAATAAAGTTTGCTTTAAACCCCCCACCTCCCTCCCCCCACTCATCTTCGGGGAATGTTTTTGTGGAACCTGCAGGAAATCAATTAAATAAATCAATTAAACATGTAAGCCCTAAAAATAAGACGACAAAGGTCTGTGGAGTCTTTCCAAAATGATCTGGTGCTGATATTAAAACGTCTCTGAGAAAACCATCAGCTTCCATTTACCATGAGCTCCTTATTCAATCTAAACAGACTAGCTCTTATGTAGTACTTTTCTACCTGAGCAGTCAAATCACTTCATGCATGTCTCAATCAGCAGTGCTTTATGTCATATTTTATCTCTGCTGTCATATTTATTCACATTCACACTCCTGCTCTACCTCCTGAGCCACAGCCACTCTAATCATGTCTGTCATCAAAGTTTTAGACAATTCAAGCAGCAGGACTTTGACGTTAAACTGAGGTCAAAGTCACCACAGATGATGAGAAGTAACTCTTTGTGCTATCAAAATCTGAGATTTTTGGCTTTTCAAACATGCCCCCTGATGTCTTGGCAATTAAGGAAAAAAAATAGATGTACTTCATATCATTGAGAAAAAAATTAAGTCAAATGTCAAAGACAGTAAGCAGCATATCTGAAGTAAGTAATTATTTTTGTGAGTCCACTGATGTGGCACACTTTGTAGTGTCCACTAAATACTTCCCAAGTGTGCTGGTTTCTGAGGCTCCTCTTTTGTCCCACAGTGTCCTCAACATCAATAAGAAAAAAGTTTTTTTAGTGTCTTTTCTGATCCTTACTCACTCACTTTGCTCTGTGATGTTTCCTCTTCCAGACCAGAAAAACATCACAGTTTTGTCTGGACAGAACGTCATTCTACCATGTCAAGCTCTAAGAGATAAAGGTTCCCTCAGAGCTGTAGCTTGGACCAAACCTGACCTACAAAATAAAAATGTGTATCTGTATCGAGATGGACGATTTGATCCCGCAGATCAGAATCCATCTTTTAAGAACCGGGTGGATCTGTGGGACAGTCAGATGAAGGATGGAGACGTGTCTTTGATTCTGAAGGATGTGACGATTAATGATGCTGGAACATACGAGTGTAGTGTTACCCAGAAAAAAGACCTCAGCCCTTACACCACGACCATAACTGTTGACCTGAGAGTTATTAATTCTAAAGGTGAGTTATGCGAGTTCAGTGTATCAGTGATCAAAGTTGAATCTGCTTCCTGGTTGTTGGATTCTGTTCTGTCCTTCACTCATCACCTACCTGACACCTCAAACCTGTTTCTCACCTGCAGGTCGGGCAGTCATACCAGTAGGACGAAGTGTAAGTGGTTCTTTTGGACTGGTCATTGGTCTGTATGTTCCTGTTGTGCTTCTTGTTGTTGCTTTTGTTTTTTAGCTACAGAAAATTTAAAGAAAACAGTCAGTGTTCAAACCAACCTCAGTTTTTTTTGTTAATGAAAACAAGAAAACAAAAATGATCTGAGGACAGACGAACATTAAAGATGGGGAACATTCAGCTGCAGATTTCAAACATCTAAAATTTAAACGTATTTCACATTTCTCTCAAACATCTTTTTAATATGTGATTGCAGCTTTATGACCTACAGTTTGAGTCCATCTTCAGTACTTTAATATGGTTTTCTCAAACCAAGGGAAACTGTATTATATTACTGTATGTTCTGCTGAATGCTGCAGAATTAGTGATTTTGCTGTAGTAGAGTTTACATTATTTGTAAAATATTATATGTGAAGATATGTATGTACACACACGAGTGTTTATACAACACAACATGTGACAGTGTGAGTTTGGAAAAATGAAAAGGAGATATTATGACAGCCACAGGACTGCTGACCTTGCTTTCCTCGTCGGTTTTGTCTTCTCATCTGTAAAATGTGGGTAAAGTTGCATGTTTGGGAACACCTCATTGGTTTTGATGGGATTGTTGGTTTAGTCAGTTCCCTCCTCACACCAATGACTTAGGCTGTGTGAATATGTAAAAAATGTTATCTGTCTGGACAATAATGTTCAGCTGGATGGACTAGAGGGACTGTTGTCCATTTTTGTTGAAAGCTCGTACTGTCCATGTTCCTGATTTGTAACTGGTTTTGAATATGGTTTCTGAATCCGTCCAGTTCTTACAGACTGCTGAACACTTTGTTTTTTTGGTAGTTTAGGAACACTGATTGGAATCACAGATCACTTTTAGTCCAGATGATTTGGTTGATTTTGGTTTCACTTTATATTAAATAATCCATAATCTGCATTATGGTTGTTGTTCTGTTTTTGTTTCATGTTTTTACATTTTATATACTTTTGGGTCAAGTAGTAGGCATACACTGATTGTTGGTGTAGAATATTAAATCATGCTGTATGTTATAGGGAAGCAATTTGGTATTTTGCCTTTTTTGGTGTTGGGTAAAATCAGAAATCTTTTTGTTTGTGTGTTTGTTTGTTTGGTTCAATTTTATTTTGATTACCTGATTGGTCTTTGCTTTGGTTGTTGTTGTTGGGTAGATTTGGGAGGGGGTGGGGGGCAAATTGTTGCAGGAGTTGTACTCATAGGTACTTTAGTTCAGGCACATAACCCTGTATCCCACTAGTACCAACTCGACTCGACATAACTCGGCTGTGCTTGGTTTTGGCCATTTACAGCTACAACTGAATACCCATCAAATGACACAACGTCATAATTTCTCTTAAACCAAGTCGAGCCGAGTTGACTAGCTAACAGTGGAAACTAGGCATTAGGCACTTCGCTTGGTTTCCATCAATTTCAGATCCTACGACCTAAATATTTTAATTATTGAATAATTCTCTTATTTAATTCTGTTATTCTGACCTGAGAGCAGAACTCAAATATGAGACTCATGTGGAGAAATGCAAAGACAAAGTTACAGCAGGCACTTTGTCCCTTGGAGCTCTGTAGCTGATGACAGAGTCCCTCTTTAACTAGCTGGGACCAACAACACATGGTGGGTTTCACTCTGAGTTCTTTTATATTTGGTGTAGAAATTCAGACTCATACCTGTTGTCTGTTACACTGAACCAAGGAGGGAAGGTGTTGGATTTGGTGGTCTCAGGATCAAATAACTGATGTTTTGATGGGACTTCATTGAGCTATAACCTCCAACATTAAGTGATGGAGTGGTTTGACCAAATTCACATTTGAGTGAGTGAAATGCTAAGTTAATGATAGCTTGCTTGGTTATCAAGCTGCAATCATACCCTGTGTAGGTGC